TAATACACTTGGTGAACATAGAAATTTGCATGGGTGCTGACCACTGGGTGGTTAGTCGATTTGATGCATAGAATGGGTATCTCTAATACCAAAATTAAGATGCTTTTGACGATGAAGAGATAAGATTTACACAATATTCCTAGTAATTTGTTACCGAATATTACATGAAAACAACTGATGGCATAAACTACTGAATTTTTAAATGATAATTACAATAGCCGTCAACACAAGCAATAACTATTTATCTCTAGGAAAAAATGTAATGCCGAATCTATATAGCATTTTTCTCTCGATTTAATCATATTTTACGGGAAGAACATTTCTCGTTGTAGTTATCAATGATAGTGCTAACTCAGACGTGCAACATTAAACTTCAAGATTATAATACATTCAGCCCCATATCGTTAAATCCAACTACATATCGCTACATTCTGCCCCATATCACTAAATTCAATCTCATATTATTAAAATCAAACACAAATCGTTACTTTTAGCTCCATATGTCACTACATTTAACCCAAATTGTTGAATTCAACCACATATCGCTAATGCCTTGACCCATCAGTATATATACAATCTCAAATAGTCACAGACAACCCCTTGTCGTTTCATTGAACCACATATCTATACAATTAACCCCATATCGATAGATTCAGTCCCTTATCGTCACATTCAGTCCGAAATCGTTACATTCAGCCTCCAGTCATTATATATATTCAACCCTTCACCGCTATATATTCAACCTCACATCGTGTGAGGCTATGACAATCTTTCAGTCGATTGCCTGCAAAATAAGCTGGTCTCTCATAATAGCCGAACGAAAACAAGCCATCAACTATACTTAATGATGTTACATTACATAATGAACTGAATTGATGTAAATGATAGTGACAGATCAAACAGGTGCAAAAAATATAATCCTCCGTATTAGATTTTCATGAAGTATAGCATTAATTAAATTTAAGAAATAAATCCACATCTTTAGAAATTGGTGCCAAAAAATTTATATCATTTCAAATGAAATTTTTATGTATATAATTACGTTATATATAAAATTATTTTCGATGATTATGGCACAATCTTAGCACTTATAAGCTTATGTTAGTTCCGTCATTCAAGTTTCAACATAAGTTTTCCCTAATATTGTATCGCTAAAAGATAATACAAAAAAGAGTAGGTGGTCCAGAAAAGATTAAAATTTCTGCATTTAAACTATCCGTTTTAACCTCGAAACAAGAATTTCATTCTGGTATAATATGTAAGAATTAGATTTCCAGTAAATTTTCATTTCCAGATTTTTTGTCCGGCTTTGAAGTGTAATTTGAGCTGAAGCTGCTGGATTTTGTAGCGTTAAGCAACAAAGTCGACGGCAGCCATCGAATTTCAATGCATACATCCATAAAAAATTTCGTAAGACTGAGTTACATTTGACGAATTCTTGGAGGTGTCGTGCGTCTTGCCCTGCATAAATCACCGAGCCGTGGCTCCTCAAATATAGAGAGTGTGCCGCTAACCACGCCAAGATCGATGCCACAGCCGATGACGTCGAACATAATACCTTGGTTGTTATCGAAGCAATGAATGTATAGCTTGAACTGACTCAGTCTAACCTGCTATTGGTCGACGAGAATTTGAAGCGATGCTGCCATTGGTCGACGTTTTATCAACATTCGATAGCAGCTATAAGCTGCTCTCGATTGTTGGTAATGGTCTTGAGGGACCTCGGTGAGGGTGAAACTTCCGATAGAAAATCATCATTTATTTGATAATTGTGTGAAACATGACAGTGAGTCGGCTGATGGTTTTTATTTATAAGCGATGGAAAAACGGTCGATGAAGTATAGATTATTGTTAGAATGTTAACAGAGTAATAGATTTTTATCCCATATAAATTCCGGATAATTATTTCCAGTTATCAGATTTCTTGCAAGTGACTAATAATTTAGATAGGATAATGAAGAATCTTTTATTATTAGAAGAGAGTCATTCATGTGGAAACGGAGGGATGGATTGGGCTGATATTTAGAAGGCTGAGTCAATAAAGCCGTTGGTCTTTCAAACTGACCAGGTTAAATTTTTATTGAACGTAAAAAATACGTCTAAAGTTAATGTTTTTTCCCGGATGCACGAAGATAGTAAACGAAATGTTCGTTTCAAAACACGTAGATATTCTCGAATCAGGTAGAGAAGGTGTCCAGAAAATATTTACGACACAGAAAACAACGAGGCAGAAATTTTATATTTCAGCATTGAGTAATGTTTTGACATGTAATGTTTTCGACAGTTTCTTTATTCGTGTGTTTGTTGCTAGCTACACTAAATATAGGTGTGTTGTCGAACGAGTATCCACAATATTCTTACCGGCTTCGTAAATCACCGGGGAACCGGATTCAAAAAAATTCAATTAGATGTGTTTTTTTCATGAAAAATTAAAGACCTCATGATTCTTTATAACAGGCATTAAAGGAGGGCCTTTATAAAACACGGGTTTAGAGAAGTCATTCCATAATTAACTTTACTTCTGTGAATATATTAGGGGAATTTTATTTTGAATAACGGAATTCTGTGATACAGAAAAGAGTTGAGGAAAGTTAAATTTGAAATTAAATGTGTTCAAGTTCATACAAAAATAGAAAATGTAAAGTTTTTTTTTTAACAGGGCTTGGATTAGGGCTCCGGACTCAATGTGGTTTTGAAAGGTCCTTTCTTTATTTATATAGAACTAATTCAATTCATTAGTTTCCTAATTATCGAGTGAATTCGGAGGACTGGATTCAGGATTTGAAACATCGGGTCTCTCAAATTGCTGGGATTTTCTATCCCGGGCGTTGCCGAAGTAAAATCTTTGTTGCGAATTAATTATACGAAGAAATAAAATATTTATTAAGTCATAAAATGGGATCCTATATCCATTCTAGTTTCTCAATTGAAAATATTTTCAGCGGTCTCATTCTGTACTCGTTCATCTGTACAAGTTTTTTTCATTCATACACCCATTAAGAACTGCTTGTCTATAAATAAAATCAATATAATTGATACTGCTAGTCTGTCCATAAAACTAATAGTCCATCCATATAACCCCTAGTTCATCCATAAAACTCTTTATCTATCAATAAAACTGATATTTCGTGTGTAAAACTGCTATTCTATCCGTTAATTTGCCCGTCCATCCATAAAACATGGCGCTCGAGCCATGAACTGTTATTCCATCTATAAAACTTCCTGTCTAGCCATAAAATGCTAGTTTGTTCATTACTGCTAGTTCGTCCGTGAAACTGCCAGTCTATACGTAAAAATGTGCACCCAAGATGTCGTACACGCAATGGTCTACTGATTATATAAAGCTCGAAGGCCTTGTCAATTAATAACGAAGCTCATACATCACCAACATGCGTCGGTTCACCCATTAGGCAGACTTTCCATCCACAAGACATTTTGAATTCCTTGGAAAACATTGAACTCAAAGTAGTGCGATGTTGCAGGCAAAGGTCGGCAACCATACTGAGGCACGATAACTTGCCTGAGCGCCTATAGAGGCGTAATATCTTTACTCCGCGCCTATATATAGAGGCGTAATATCTGTCCTCCACGCCTATATAGAGGCGTAATATCTGTCCTCCGCGCCTTTATAGAGGCGTAATATCTGTCCTCCGCGCCTTTATAGAGGCGTAATATCTGTCCTCTGCGGCTATAGAGGCGTAATATCTGGCCTGCGCGCCTTTAGAGGCGTAATATCTGTCCAGTGCGCCTTTAGAGGCGTAATATATCTGTCCTCCGCGCCTATATAGAGGCATAATATCTGTCCAGTGCGCCTATAGAGGCGTAATATCTGTCCTGCGCGCCTATAGAGGCGTAATATCTGTCACGAGGCTCAGTTTGCAGCGGCAGCTCGGCAGGACTCAGGCGTGACGTCAGGCGTCCGGTGGCCTCTAATTACGCGGACAGGAAAAGATGGACGGTGAAGCAGTCCGGACACCTCCCATGAAGCCTCTGTTGCCTTCATTGATCCGTGAAATTAATGGGAAAAATTCACTTAGCTCCACAATGATACATTTTTTTATACCATGTTCACAATGCTAGAGATTATCATGATAAAAATTCCAGATTACCGTTAATAATAAATAACATAGTTTCGCGAGTAAAGTTTGTTTTTAAGTCGAGGAGAACTGTATATGTCAATTTGTCTTGAGATAAATGGTCTCGAGCACAACATAAGTTCCAGAAAGTCAACGTAATTGCATTGTCTGCATGAGCACAATTCAACGTAGTCGCGGTGTCTGCATGAGCACAATTCAACGTAGTCGCAGTGTCTGCATGAGCACAAGTCAACGTAGTCGCGGTGTCTGCATGAGCACAAGTCAACGTAGTCGCGATGTCTGCATGAGCACAAGTCAACGTAGTCGCGGTGTCTGCATGAGCACAAGTCAACGTAGTCGCGGTGTCTGCATGAGCACGAGTCAATAGAAGATATTCATCACTCGCGGCAGTTCCCGAGCGCATGCGGCTGATCGCATTCAAACCTCATTTCCTAGCGATTGCTCACACCGAGTCATTTGCTTCCTGCAATCGACAAGCAAAGCTTCGCCCGCACTCTGTCTTGTCTAGCTGTGGTCCTGGCGGGCGATTGTCACTGCCAGAATAGCGGTCTCGGTCAAACGTTCAGGCTAAATTTCAGATATAACATAATCAGCCTCTGCAAACAGCAAGTAAAGTCGAAACAATTTAATCCTGGAGGATATTTATGATTGTTATTATGAATTGTGTTATTTGTATAGCATACTAAAAACGCTCTAACTATACTTTTTGGGAACAGTTTTATTCAGAGCACTCATATTTTTCACGCAAAACAATTACTAAAGTCTTCAGCAGTAACGATGATGTGGCAACTATAAGACGTTATTTCTCCCACGTTTCGCCTAGTAAAACATCGTTTAGTAATAAGGTACCCTATATTATAGCAATCTATTCTTGAACAGAATATTTCTCCTTTTCATCCAAAGGGATAAAATCGCAGTCAAGCACTCCTTCATCACAAGGACCCAAGAGCCTCTCGAGCGACTGTGACGAAGGCAGTGGATATGATGACGACGAAGGTGACGACGAGCACGCAGACGCGCAGGGTGGGGGCAGAAAACAGCGACGTAGTCGTACGACGTTCACGGCCTACCAGCTGGACGAGCTGGAGAAGGCGTTCGAGCGCACGCAATATCCTGACATATACACGCGCGAGGAACTGGCAGCGAGGACGAGTCTATCTGAAGCCAGGATACAAGTAAGAATTAACGCGTTGAATTAATGGTTAATAGTAATTAATTATTAAATTAAAATAAATAAACAGATACAAGTATAGATTAATGGCCTTAAAATTGATGGTTAATATAAATTAATTACTAAATTAAAATAAATGAACAGAAAAGATGGAAGGCTTGGAATTAATAAAAAGGTTTTGCCAGCATTTTGGAGCTTATTTCGAAAATTGTTTAGAAAAATAGACTCGAAAAAAACTCGCTTGTTTCGAAAATCGATTTGCCAAGATCGTACATTGATCACCTATATAATATATTTGACGTCATATTAATAAGAAAAAATTCTGTTATGAATTAGTTAAAAACATGAAATAATTACTACCGTTTTTAATTAGGCTCATATCAAAAATCAAATGTTTATAAGCCCTACGCTTTTAACCCACTAAATATTTATGCAAAGTAAAAGTTTATGAAACCTTCACAAGCGACCACACTAAATCTGTAATCATAGTAACAAATTTTATAATTGCAATTTAATATATAACAAGCGGCGGCATGAAGCAATGACTGCGCTAAAAGTTTTCCGACTATTATATTGCTTGATCGCATGCACTTACTTTAGCTAGAATGCCTTAGGTGTCTAAAATTCGGTAATTTTTTGGTCGATTAATTATGAAAACGCATTTTCCCATTACGAGTGCGACAAAAGTTGTCCACACCATGAAGTTTATTTCAGCGACCTCCGTTATCAACAGTCTGAAACGATGTTGTAGAATATTCACGCATCGGCCTTAACGCATTGCGTGATTTTTCACAAAATTCAGTTATAAATAACGTAACATAGTGTTATAGAATGTTTACTATGTAATACTAATACTAATAAGTGATAATAATAGTAATAGTAATAATAATAATAATAATAAAAATAATAGTAATAATAATTATAATAATAGTAATAATAATGACAATAATAATTTACCGTCCCTCAGGTCTGGTTCAGCAACAGAAGAGCGCGGCTCAGGAAGCAAATGTCCTCGAGTGCCACGGCGATGCCCTCAGTCTCAGCCATGGGCAGCATGGGCGCCATGGGGGGCATGGGGGGCATGGGGCTACCCATGGGGTACGGTCATGCCCCCAGCCCATACATGTTTGCTGCCCAGGGGTTCCCAGACCCCACGGTGGCCTTCCCTTCGCAGTCCACAGGTAAGGACGTGCCATTTTAATTGTCCATCGATCAACGGTCAAACAAGATCGTTATAAATGATACACTTCACAATAAAGCTCTTTCTTATAGGTTAAGACTTAATTTTATAAATATTTTCTAGGTTTATACTATGTATTGATTGCATTGATGTTATCTATAATCTAATGCTAGAATAAGATAATCTATCAACGAAAATGGAGGAGGAATCACTGTCATCATGCAAAAACCGAAGCACTGTTGTGTAGGACTAAAAAGAAATGTGTTTCATTCTAATTTATATTATTTTTTAGTGAAAAAAATATTTCACTTTAAAAAGTGAAGTATTCCACTTTAAAAAAATGAAATTTTTTCGTTCAAAAACGCATTTCATTTCAATATAAAAACATTTTTGGTGCAGCGGAGAGCTGCGTGTCGCTGTACGGCAGCGGCAGCGCCGGCCACCAGGCGGCCGCGGGCGGCGACGTCACGCGGACGAACATGGCCGCTGCTGCCGCCGCTGCTGCCGCTTACCCTTCCCTAACCGCAGCTCACAATCCACAATTTTTCTCAGCCCAGGTAACATTGTACAATGTACATTCTAAAAGTGTTGACCAACATAACACTGTATATTTTAGAAAACTTTTTAACCCTGGTAACATTGTACAATTTAGAAACATTTTTAGCCCTGGTAACATTGTACAATTTAGAAACATTTTTAGCCCAGGTAACATTGTACTATTTAGAAACATTTTTAGCCCAGGTAACATTGTACAATTTAGAAACATTTTTAGCCCAGGTAACATTGTACAATTTAGAAACTTTTTAACCCAGGTAACATTGTAAAATTCAGAAATCGTTTTTCAACCCAGGTAAAATTGCACATTTAAAAATTTTTTAACCCAGGTAATAGTCTATATTTAATTCTCCAGAGAGGAGCTTGAGAAATACACGTGACAATTTCAGACATTGCGATTATTATTGATTATTTTGCTTATTAAACTCTGTTGTTGGAGTTAAATTTGTATAGACTGGAAAGAAAATATTTAATTTTACAGCAAACGCAGCAGTGTAAGCAGAACTAGTAAACTTCATAGCTTTATAATTTAAAAATAATTAGAATAGTAATAATTCAAGCCGCATAAATTAGTAGCATTCTACTTTATTTCTTACAGGAATTCAGAACGAGGTAATAATAAGAAATTAAGTCAGTAGAAAATGACATGCTTCTGTCAGTGTATTATTCATAGCCTGGAATTTTACATTTAACGTAGTCAATATAGTATCTCCATAACTCGCATGAATAATTATTCAAATGAATATCTTGAATTTCATCCTATATATGTATTACTAGCACTAGCAATATATATTAATTACTAGCAAGAGATTATTAGAACCAAAATTCATATTAATGAAATGTAGGTATTTATCTATTTATACGAATTTTTCTATTTAAGAATTTATTTTCAATAAATTCGTGGGTAAAACTTTTCAACAAAGAAATTGTGACAGAGACAAAAATAGCTGAAATATTCGAGGCTGCTGAACACGAATCTGATGTTCGAAAAGCTCGTTTAGCTCGTGTTTATTTCCAAGTTATCGCTAGAGGTCATTTCGATCGATTTCTTGGTTTTTCAGTGAACATATTAACTTCTCCTGAAAGCGGGTTCATTGTTTCAAATGTTTTTCCTGTCATTCAACTGTTTAATCTCATTGTAAATAATTCATATAGAACACTCAGTTTGACAACCTCAGCTTGATGAACATGTTGAGCGCTCATGAGATGGTTGAGGGGATAAGTGGTGCTGCAGGTTAAATTGAACACCTCAGTGACAGCAGATCACTGTTGGACCGTAGCAAGAAAATGGCCAGAAGCTGTAAACAATCTAGCATATAAATACCTTACAGTTTCTAATGCGAAATTACTTAACTACTATTGTATATAATCTATATACCTATTTAAAATATACCTATATACCTATTGTTAAAATTTGTTGTCCACTGTAATTTGATGACACTACAATATGAGTACATGAATAACCAAGAGTGCTAGCTATCAAAGTGTGACGTACTTTGTGTCACTTACTCGATAATTAGTTGATTTTAGCGAAAACGTTCATTAAATTACATTATTATTTTCCATTACTAACATAATTAATTATAAAAATACACGCTATCCTCATTGTAATTTTTTATTGAAGCGCAAGAAATCGAAAATTCGTACTCCAATAACTCCAATAATTTCGTCACAATTTGAGTGTCATAACCTCATATTATATTTTGAAGCTCGTACATAAGTTCAGCTTTAATTTCGATCACAACGACTACAATATATTGCAATTTAGATCACAATGAGTAGAATGTATCGAAATTATTCCTTCCTATTCATAAACACATAATACTGTTATAGTATACCTATTGTAAATATTTTTAGCGAACCTTTTGTTAGCTTAGTTTTTAATGTCTATTTTCTATGCGCTCCTACGATTTACTTGTTCATCAGACCTTTAGAGTGTAAAACCTAGTCAACGACGTATCAAATAGTTTCTTGTCAAATCAGTTGTTCGTAGCCCGCGTCAAAAATGCCCACAATATTTCGGTGCGTTGACTTATGCCTTCATATAACTTATTTATAGTTTTGATGATCATTTGTTATATTTGAATATTATAAGCATACATTGAAGTATACAGGGTTAATATATATATGTTTGTTCTTACAGATACAATTTTTCATTCAATAAAAAGGAAATTTGTTGTTGAAACCGTGGTTATCCTAAAACCCGAACGCGGACTTACGACAACCCAAACTCAAAAACGGAAAGCGTTTTTACACCTATATTAACAATTCATAAACACATAATATAAGTCCTTATATTAACAATTCATAAACACATAATATAAGTCCGTATATTAACAGTTCATAAACACATAATACTGGTCCGTGTATTAACAATTCATAAACACATAACTAATATAAGTCCTTATATTAACAATTCATAAACACATAATATAAGTCCTTATATTAACAATTCATAAACACATAATATAAGTCCGTATATTAACAGTTCATAAACACATAATACTGGTCCGTGTATTAACAATTCATAAACACATAACACTAGTCCATACATTAACAATTCAAAGACACAAAATTAAATTGCATGTATTAACAAAATTATATGCCGTGGTCAGGGCGCAGGCCACCTAAGCCACGGCGTGCAGGCCGCTGGGTCCTGGGGCATGCCGGAGCGACGCGCTCCTGCAGCGCCGTCCTGCGTCGCTGCCGGCGCCCCTGCCGACCTGCGCTGCAGCTCTGCTGCTGACCTCAGGGGCGCCATGGGGGCGGTGAGTGCTGCAGCGTCGGCAGCACCATCTGCAGCAGCTGCAGCAGCTGTCGCCGCTTTAACTACATCTTCATCATTCAATGCAAGTCTACAGCATACACGCTCTCCCATGCAGCATTTTGCTTCGCACCCAATGTATCCTTTCTACTACGGCCAGTAGCATTTGGTGCATCACTTCTACTACGGCCAGTAACATTTCGTGTATCACTTCTACTACGGCCAGTAACTTTTGGTGCATCACTTTTGCTACGGCCAGTAGCATTTTGTGCATCACTTATACTACGGGCAGTAGTATTTTGTGTATCACTTTTAATACGGGCAGTGGTATTTGGTGCATCACTCATGCTACAGACGGTAGCAATACCTATACTTTTCTCTTGTATGGCCAGTAACGTTTCGCCCATCCAATCTGCTAAGGCCAATGGCATTTTGGGCATACCTCCGCCTGCGTGTATGAGCATCTCATGCATCCCTTTAATTACGACGACCAGTAGTTGGCAGAAGTATTCGACATACATGTATTAAGTGTAGATCTAATTTTTTAGCAGTAGAACCATTTACTTTCTATACTTGTGAAGGAACACAGCATCGCAAATTATAACTTTACGAATTCAGCGGGAACTAATTTTGCCATAAAAGGAATTTTTTTCATCAATCATCATCCTACATGATAATTTATTTTGCAATTATTATCAGCGAATGTCTTATAGTTATTTTCGCCCATTAATTGGATTTCCGTAACCTTGAAAACGACTGTAGCTGATAACGCTCTAGTGTCATAGACAGCTTGCTTGAATATAGGGGAGAAAATTGTTCATATCGCCATCGAATCGTCCCCGCTTGGCCATGTGTATAATGCGATCTCTGAGTGAATTGTATTTTTCATGTTAAAGTGTAATGACTGATGTTCCAATGAGAGCATATAATGTAAAGTGTTTTATATCATGAAATGTATGTGATGCTGTGCAGGAAATCAAGATTTGCTTTAAGTTAAGTTTATTAAATTAGCGTGGCTGCTCGTATATTGGTATTGTAACAACTTCAACAAAAATATCAATTTTTTCATAGTGAAAGCACTGTTAAAACGTGATATACAATTAGTAATTTATAAGGTTATCACCTAATTAATCTTTGGTAAAAGACATAATTATATTTGTGATAAGAACTCCCTCAGTAGAGTGTCAACACCAATTCACAGCATAAAATAGGAAAAACCAAAATGGTTCTGCATATATAGAAGGGCGTTGCTAAGGCAAGTAATTACACTGAATTACTTAACTATAGCTAAGCTTTTCTGATTTCTGGAATACGACTTTGCTTGTTGGCATATGCACATCATCAGTTATTTCATAGACACTGGAAAAACACATAAATCATATTTAAAATCTGCTTTAACAAATAATATCCATCTAGACGTTTTAAGCATTAGAGAAGAAAAGTATAATGCCTATGGAGACATTATAGCATTTGATAAATAAATTCTAATGACTAATTAAACGAAAGAATGCATCTTCTGGATGATGAAATCAAATTCAAGATTTTGATACTAAAAATACTTGCACTCGAAAATGATCTTAATTTTGCAAGTGTGATAACTGATATTCTTGCGTGATTTTTCTTATCGTCGTGAAACTCTTTTTGGTCATAAATTTAAAGAATTTATCATAATCATTAATTAATAACTAGTGTATATACATGTATAAGTTGTGAATAAGTATAACCGGTTGTACAATTAAAGTGGGGTGAAGTTCGTTTCAAGATTGGTACTTCGAATATTAATATCTTTTCAAACATCACGAAAGCCTCGGCATAAATGCAACAGCAAATGTTCTTGTGTACATAAACTCAATAGATTGAATCTCTATAGGTCTTGCAATGCGCAGCATGTGAATATTATTACATGAATTCACGATTATTAAAATGTGAGTACAGTAACCTTGTTCATTATTTCCCTGTTGTTTGTGAGTTTTTTTTTCTAAAATTGATTTTATTCGCAAACGAATGTTACAAATGATTAATTGATTTTACTTAGCAAACTTGCACACATGGATAGAATTATTTTACCAAGCAAAGGATGGAAATAGTATATGCACCGTACATTATGACTTATTTGGCATATTAATTTTGATACCGCCAACGTTCTATAGTAATTTCAATAGTAAACAAATTTTCCTATAATTAAAACTTTAGTCAAAGCGATTCTTTGTGCACTCGAAGCAGTTTGATCTATCCCGTCAACTGCAATTTAAATCAACTATTGAAAATTGAGTATCGAGGAGCCATCGTTCAGCTCGCGACCGCTCATCAGTTTGAGCGGAAACACAAGTCGGTAGCAATTTGTTGAGACTGTCACTGAGCGCAGGTGGCCCCTATAATGGCAGCTGTAAATCGGTACGGTTTGTTCTAACAGCTGCTTGATGCAACAACAATCATGCACTCATCTCGGCAGTAATTTCAACGCCGTCGGTGTCTCACACGTACGAAAATTTGCGACTCGATCTGATCTGGTTCGGCAATCCAGGAGTGTGACGAACGTGATAGATCATCGCCACGCCACACGCATTCTAGGAAAATTAACTAGCTATTTAGGAGCGAGTTGAACATCGAAATATTTCTAACGAATAGCGTAGAATATTTGGCTCAGGATTTTTTGGCGGTCAGAGATACAGGAACACTTTAAGGAATTTTTCAAGTTTCTTCTTAAGGAAGTTAAAGTTTTTCAAGTTAAAATTTTAAAGTTTCTTAAATTTCCGCCTTTGTCTGCTCCATAATCCAAGAGGTGAAGTAAATAAAGGTTTGAGAATATTTTATTTATAAGACATTTTACAGATGCTGTACATTACCGCAATGTCAATAAAATTCGAATTGGAAATTTTAGACATTTTAATTTCTATGCTAAAAATGATATTTTCGCAATTGTCTAATAGAAGATTTCGAAGCCCATGATTTTTTGCCCGTATACTTATAATGATTCAATATAACTTAAAAAGAGAACTTCATTATATTCTTTGATGAACCATTTCTGATACATATCCTCGTGTAAGAGGGTAGTCTCATAGAAACTTAATTTTCACTAGCAGGATACGATAGTTTCAATACCGAACAAAAAATTTCTTCATATGAAACTGGATGAAACTGGAAACCTTTGAGTTGGAAAGAAACCTGAATGTACTAGAAAAAGTGCAGTTAGTTCATTTCATTCAAGTTCCAAACATTGCGCAATGGAAGTTAGATATTGAAAACAAACGTTGGTTATTGAGAATAATAATTGTCCACATTCTTGGACAGGAACTGACAAGCACAGTCACTTGGCACTTAGAGCGCAACTGGTGTGTTATTACGGATGCCTCGCAAAAACTAACTACAAGACTTCTGTTTCAATACAATCATGCCTCATCCTCGGGCTGGATGATAATAATACATAGAAAAAATAAACATCATATTGAAAATAATTGTACACATAGAACTAATGCATTGGGCTGTGACATAAAAAAGACGATTTTATAGATGGAAAATAACATTGCACCCTTGGCTTCGTCATGAACGGGTTACATATAAGGCTTGCCACACAATATTATAATGTTTAAAATTTGTGAAAGCAGTTCATGTAGAAACATTTGTACGACTAAGAATGTCTCCTACTTTTTAAATTTTGTTTTGCGAGTTGAAGATATTCTGCTTCCACGCTAAATAATGGCAAATTTTCTGTATTCCCTGGAAAAAACTAGTGAGTTTATCCAACAATTTAGAATTTTTAACTCTAGTTTTGTGAATTTATTTACTCTGATAATAGAAGCTCGATTAACAGTGGCGATGAAATGAACAATGTGATGCTCTCATCTGAACCTATATAGCTTACGTCAAACATGTAACTACATTTCAAACACCCATTCATCTATTATAATATTCGTGTAAAGCATGCGGTACACTTTTAATCAAGCGACTAACAGCGGAGCCAGGAAAGTAATTTAAGACATAGCACCGATTTGACCCGACTTAATGCACAAGCTGCTGGAAATTCGACCCCAAAATTATTAGCTCATCAATCACGGCCATTTTACAACAAGGACTGACGGAAACTCTGCCAGTTCGTTAATCGCTCATTGCTGGACCTTCAATATTAAGAAATCAATATCTGATCAAGAAATTTCTCAGTGCAGTATTCATTCACGCCATCTTTCACGCTGAGGTCATGGAGAACGTCGAGCTGCTGATACGATTAAGCTAAGCTAGACGAGTGAGTCGTCCATATGGAGCGCTACAAAAACGACCGCACGGACAGACACGATCATGCAAGTCAATCGCGCATGCGGTCAAGTAAAAGTAAACAGGAGTAACAGTAAAAACAATGATAATAATGCTAATAATAATAATGATATTGATAATTATAATAATAATAATAATAATTAAATAATAATAATAATAATAATAATAATAATAATAATAATAATAATAACAATAATAATAATAATAATAATAGGATAAATAATATACGTTTGAAAATTACTTTTTAAAGACAACACTTCTAAAGAATAAAGTGCCTCCAATGTTACAAATGTACCATGAATTTCTAATTTTATTTTCGAATATTAAAAATTAAATTTTTCAATTTTTTATATAGAGTTTTTTTCAATATTATTTATTCTGTCAATTGATTTTATATATCGATTTAATTTAATCGATTATTATCAGGCTCACAAGTATGCCAAATTTCAGATCAATTGGACAGGTAAAAGTGTGTCAAATATCAATTATAAGATTTGTAGCTGACAAAATTATTTTGTCAATTTTTTTTAATATTTAAATTTCTTTAATTTTCAAAATTATTCGTTCTGTCAATTGATTCATTCAATGTCACCAACTTTACACAAGTGTGCAAAATTTCAGATCGATTGGACGGGTAGAAGTGTGTTAAATATCGATTATAAGATTTGTAGCAGACAGACAAACAAACAACTAGAAGTGAAGTTAAAGAGAAGTCTTGTAAAAATAATAAATTAGTCTTCCTTATGATGGAGTTTTATCAGAACTAAACATTGTATAGTATGCGATAAAATTTAAAAATGCGTCTACAAATCTTGTTTTGCAAGCCGAATATACGTTTGTATATACAAATCATTTGTGATTGAATGGAGTTCCCGATATAATGAAATTATAGGCTTAGTCCGGAATCAGGTTACTTTGAGATAGCCTCGAGATTTAAGAAATTTTCACTCTATATTTGAGAGGAACTAATTAATTTAATACAAGTTATCCTAATTAGGACATTGTTGAACGCCGGAAGTGGCTAATGAGGCGGTGCTGCATAGCCCATTAACTGCGCTAACTACCATATTATAGGAACCTTTGTCAGAATATTGGTAGTCCAAAATTAAACCTCACATGGCCACCTAAACGACGACCAAATGTAGTTTAACTAGCCTTTCGTTGATTGGCCGCGCGCGCATATTTTGTGATTCGGTTGAAAACTGCATTGATTTATTTTTAAATAACTGAAGGTCAGAAGTGCATCCTGTATAAGAAATTAACTTATGTGGAAACAATTTTAAATGATTATAATTACTAATCACTAATCATCATTGATGAGACTGATCATGGTAGTGTTATATTTCAAACTTGTTAAAGAATTTTTTCGTTTATACCAATTTTTATTTTCCAATTGAGTCCTACGTAGACGTATCATATTTTGAATAATATAAGGACACAGTATGGATTTATCCCCCATTTTCCGGCCATAAGACACGGATGGTCAAGGAGCTCGGATCCATAGCGACTTATAGCAGCGCCGGGCGTCCGCGTCAGGCTTTTAGGGATGCAAATTACAGGGCAGCGCTGGACCAAGTGATGGACGGCGGGGACGCTTAGACGCCCCTGGCCCGCCATATAAAACATCCGCTAGGGAAAATGTAAAGCTTCTCATTCATCGCACCGATGAACTAAAAGTGAAGTAATAATGCATGGGGGTGGAAAAAAGCAAAATGTTTCAGTTTTTGGACTTGATGTTACATAAAAGCATGTTTTTAATGATGAAGATGGCTTTAATTTATAATCCTCAACCATCACTATATATATAAGCAGCTTAAAATGATTTCGGAATGAACGAAGTGTTACTTATAGGCGAGTAATAGTGAATGAAGTTCGTGTGAGAGCGATAAAAATAAAAAAACTGGCTATTGTTTGATGATATGAAGAATATTCTCATTAAATATTGTGATGAGCTGAAAATTAATGAGTCTTGAAGACGATGCTTGAGCTTCATTTAGGCTAAGACGCACCGGCGGTATTAAGATTGACGATAAATTCACGACAAATAAAACATATCTGGTTATTTTTGGGCTCCGGAATTATTATTGAATCAATGCAAGTAAAAATAAATTATTCTCTTTGTTCATTAATGTCTAAATTTATTCCACAATCCACCATGTTCTAATTTGCAGCCCAGTGAAGCAAGCTTCTTATCAAATGAATACATGTTTACTTCATTATCAAATTATCCATTATATACATAAAAAAATAATTTTTGTTAATAAATATACTGTATCTATCAGACATCTAGCTTATATATGTTTGCAGTGTATTATAAATCATGGTGTGTGAAAATACAACAATGGGCTATTATTTTTCTGTAACGGGATTTGGAATAACGAAAGCTAAAAAAGGGATTTATTGCTCGATCTTGGTCCAATTCGTGCCATCGCTCTTAATTGCTAGTAATTAAACCGAATGCATAATATAGTGCAAATGATGTCTGTTGTGATCTCGTAGACTTAATTTTAAACGAAAATTAAAACAACCTAAATACGATTTTCCAAATATATAGAATTTAATTAGTGGGAAGTGTTATCTTGGCAACTTCGATTATTGATAATTAATGCTCTATCTAGAGCGCAAGCAAAAGTACGACGTAGAACCTGGTTTTG